ATTTGCAATAAGTGATATTAATATTTACATCACTTAAAATAAATGATATTAATATTTACTATCAGTTATAATAAATAATATTATATATTAAATTCAGAGATATTAAAATTCGTTTTGATTTAAATTTTTTGTTAATTTTATAATATTATAAATTTAAGATAACTAATAATTTTATATTTATTATTCTAAGAAATGTATATAAATACACACATATGATTTAACACAAAAACAAATTTAGTGTTGATGAATTTCTTTTATAGATGATGAAATTAGTACTTTTCATCATTCTTAGCAATGTGGGACAAATAGTTGTTTAGTGAAAATTTTATTTGCATCACTTTTATAACTGAAAGAAATACTAGCATCATTTATTATTAATACTAATGCCAGTTGATCAAATGCTTCACTTATATAATTAATGTAAACTTATATATTTGTGTAAGTTTTTAAAAGTGATATAAATTAATAATGATTTGTATCAGTTTTTTTAACTGATGTTAACATTAGTATCAATTGTTTTTAATTGATACTAGTCAAGTTAAGATTAATTTTAAAAACTGATGTAAAATTTTATATCTAGTGTCAATTTTTAATTAGTGATTCTAAATAGAATCAATTATTTGAATAATACTTTATAAGTGATGTAATATACATTTTTTTCTTGTAGTGCGTGTTAAAAAAATAACAAAGTATATGTTTTGTAATATATATTTTTATGATATATGGTTAAATTTGTTTTAAAAAAATAAGTATATTTATGCATATAGATATGAGTTAGAAATAAGTGAATTGTAATATTTAGGTGTTGGTTAATTTTTCTGATATTTTCTGCAAACTTTATGTTTTTACACGAAGCAGTTTTGGGTGTTTTACAACAATCACGAAAACTGTTTCTGTCTTTTTGTATATAATTAAAATTTCTTATTTCAGCGTTTTATGATATATTATTTCTCAATAAAAATTATAACAAATATTTATTATAAAGTTTGTGAATAGTATAAAATTTATGAAATCATATCTTATAAAATTCTCTGGTAGCTCTCTGTTCATCTATTCGTCGTCAAATTGTTTATAGCCAGCAATCGCTCGCTTTCACAAATTCTTCGTAACCGCAGCGTTTAAACCAGCCAGATCCTAAACTTATATGTGTATGATTTAAGATGTAAAATAATATATTTGATATTTGATTGTTATATTAAAGATTAAGAGTTATTCTGTTTCCAACTTTAATATATATGCTACTATAAAATATAATGGATCACAACATATACAAAACTTGATTCATGAAATAATTTTTTAATATGTTGGAAAAAATATATGCATGAAAGAATTAATATGTGTAAGATAATATTTTTAAATATTTTAAATAAAAAACATAAAATCAATCAAAATTAGTTTTCTTTATTTTTTTCCTTCTTTGACTTATTTTTTTCTTTCTCAACTTTGAATAATATATTAAACATTAAGATCATCTCTAATGTATTTTTCTATTTTTTCTTCTAAAATATAACTAGATTTCTCTAACCTATTTCCATTTTACAGGAAAAAGAAATATTGTTACTTTTTTCTCCAATTATAGAGGAAAAATAGCATCTCTATTTTTGCTCTAAATTATAAGATTTAAAATTAAAGGGGGTTGGAGATGTTTTAAACCTAAGATATAACCTGAGATTTTTACAGAAAACCAAAGTCATAAAGATTCTTTTTTAATTTTATTTTACTTCTTATTCATATATACAGTACTACAAACAAAATTTCTAAGAGGATATTTATAATTTATTTTTTTATCTTTTTATAATTTCAAATATTTGCTATCTAATGAGAATGCATTCACATATTATATAATCTTTTTTTCTTATTTAAAATAAGATTTATTTAGTATTAACTTAACCAATCAAATTTTTTTATTTATTTTAGAAAAAAATTCATGTCAATAATTAAATACACTAACTTTTGTTCTCTTTTTGACACGTCAGCTTTGTTCATTAAACATTTTTGTCAAATAATATATAAGATATCTTATTTTATTTGAAAAAATATATACTTAATTTTAAACTAACTGAAACTTAACTATAAAATCGAAATAGATACTTATGAAAAAAGTAACTGCCAGACATTATACTTCTTTGATTATTTAATATGATGTTACTAATTTTAAAATTTATATAACAATTAATAATTCAACATATATTTTTATTTTATATATATAATAAAAAAATTCAAAACTAATACTTAAATCATAAAATTTAGAAAAGATTTGGAAAAATACATTCAAAAGAGATTGTATTTTGAAAAATACACCATTGTTTATTTTTTTAAACTATACTTAATTTTTAATAAAATGTCTAAATTAATCTAATTAAAAATTGGTAATACATTTAATATTTAATTAAATAAATATAATATAATATAAGAATAAAGACACATAATTTTAGAATTTAGTTAATATCTAAATTAAAAATATAAATAAATAAAAAAAATGAATAAAGAATGAAGACACATGATTTTAGAATTTGAATCATCATTGCAGTTCATATCTCATTTGATTTGGTCTTTTGCTAAATTATATTTGATCTAAACTCTTAGAAACTTTATGATGGACCAAAATAGTTTTAGTTAAAAAACATCTAAATAATACACTAATAAACTATTTTTTTTGTTACAGATGAATTTTCAAATATTTAAATTTATAATTTCGAATTTTAACTGACTCAGATAAATTAATAATTTCGAATTTTAATTTTCTCAAATAAATTAATACTAATAATTTCGAATTTTAATTTTAATTTACTAAATTATGTAATATCTCTTTTAAGTCAGGTAAAGAAAAACTTATTTGTTTTTATATAATATAAATAAGTGTTATTTTTAAATTTTTAAATAACAGTGTATTTTTCAAATTTTAAAACTTTAATAAGGCATTTTGCCAATTTTCCCTATAATTTAGAGATGTAGTCTTCTGTCCGTGCAAGGCGCCAACAGCACACCTAATTCATTATACATAGCAACAACATGTCTCTTCAGTGTCACCCGGATTTAGTTTAAGACATTCTCCACCCATAAGACTGTTTAATTCATTGCATCTCTGCTTGCAGTTGGGAATCTGCGAGCAATAACCTAACGGTTGTATTCCTGTCCTCGCTTCCACTTGTTCTGTAATTTTTATTTGAAATAAAATTAATTAGTGAAAAAGTCTAATCAAAAATAAAAAGAGTCGTTACACATGAATCTCTTTTACTTTTCTACAATGCAATATCAAATATTTCGTAACATAAAGTATATAATATGTTTTAATGTAAAAAATAATAGTATATCAAGTAGACAGTATAATAGTTAGTCTATCACTTGCAAAGAGTTTTTGGTGAAGAAATAAATATAGCGTTCCGTTGTTATTTAATGCCGCGATCAGATGCGGCCGTTACCAAACGTTTAGGTAATAGTAATACTCTTGTAAAAAAATTATATATAATATGTTTAACAGTATATATCATTCTGTTGAGTCTTTAATTTTATTTCATATAAATACCAATTTATACTTCAGTAGGAAAAAACCAGTTTTATCTCTTTGAAATAGGTTTATTAACTAATTTGAAAAATGGAGAGAGAAAAAATAATATAATCTTTTTAAAAAAGAACCTAAAACAAATTTCAGATGTATTATTTTGTGAAAACACGGAAAACAACATTTTCTGTATTTATCCCATTTATCTTGTAACAAAGAGTCAATTATACTGTATAATGTATACGATTAAATGTATAAATAAATAGGCATACAATACATAGAACTAAATATAAACATATATTAAATGATTTTTGGCATACTTGGCGACATGAGAAGACAAAGGCATAAAAGCACAAGGAAGAAACATTTGCCAAGTGAAACCATCTTTTTGTTTTGTGTTGTACTGAAAACCTTTCGTTGTTCCTTTATATATAAGTTCTCAAAAGAATACATGGTATATGCACTCACTAAATTTACTATATCTTAATCAAGTAAATAATCGCTGTCAAGAAAAAATCAAGTAAATAATCTCAAATCGATTTCATTCAAAGGTGAATTTAATTTATATGAATGAATGGTTGAATAATTAGTTGTATGGTAAAAGATACTCCTTTGTTTTAGTAAATAAGCTAGTAATGTGTTATCTAGGAAATTGAGAGAGATAAACCTTTGTTTTAACCAAAAACATATGTCTGAATTAGCTTATTTGGTATTGGATCAGAACATATAGTATAGTGATTATCAAATCTGCATAATACATGATGTTACTGCTACAGCCTAATCACTTTTTGAGATTTAGATTCAACCACTTCTAATATGCTTCTCTATTAGGCTGTTGACATTATTATTCATATATGAGAGCCTTAATTATTAATAAATTTACTGCTACTATATGATTTACATTCTTTTTGTCTATTTGATCATCTTTTTCCTTTGTAATGTTTTTCAGTTTTTCTTTTAAATAAAAGAAAAAATGATTTTATATTTACAGATATTAAATGAGTTTGTGACACACTTCAATTGGGTTTAGCTGTTTAGGTAACTTCATCTGAATGATTTGAATAAGATTGTCTCATAAATAAATAAGACAGTTATTAATTTAGAGAGATAATTTTTTAATCTGCGGTCCATATCCTCACTTAAAGTTTTATAAAATTAGCTTACTACGTTATTTGCCTTGGGCCTTAGCTGAGCATAGATCCAAGATGGCAGTAAAGTGAAATTGCACTTATCAAAACTTTAGCAGATTATCGAGAGATCATAATCAAGAAACTCTCATTACATGGATCGATTCCCTCTCAACTAAAACTCAAAAGAAAGAACAAAACTACAACATTTTAACGGCAAAGAGACAGAGAAAAGAGTCTATAAACCCTCTACAATACCATATACAAAGTCATATATATAGAACATAAAGCTTCTGTTTATTCTTTTAGGTCCACAATCTTAACACCAAGATGAAATCATTCTTCATCTCAATTCTCTCCAAACTCGTAACTCACCGGAGAAGATTCACAAACGACATAACCGAATCTACGTCTCTATGCTCCGACGGGTACTTAATCGCTCGTGAAGCGCTTTTCGGAAACAGAAGTATTGTCGGAAAACTCCCTAATTGAAGCTCTTGCTTAGCAAACTCCTTCTGGTCACCGTCTGCTCGAAACTTCGCCACCTTGACCCCTTTCACCGCCAGCTTCTCGGCCAATTCGAGGTACGAAGCTTCCATCGCCTGACAAAACGGGCACCAAGGAGCGTAAAGCACAACTAGCCACGGCTCTTTACGGTTACCTAGCTTCAGCAGATTCTCAATCCCTCCTCTGCTCAGTGAAACCACATTGTTGCTTTCGAATATATCTTGCACAATCGCTGGTGTCAAATCCGCAGCACCATCTTCCTCCTTGATGTTCCCTTTGTGCAGCCCACATTCTTTAGCTTTAGCATCTTCCCACCACCACCTTCCTTCTCTCTCGTGCTGACCAGGAAGCACCGGTCTAGTGCAAGGCTCACACCCGATGGAGACGTATCCTTGCGCGTGCAATGCATTCACGGGGACATCCATTGTTCTCAAGAAGCTCCACACATCTGCTCCTTCAACATTAGCCAAAGGGTTCCACTTCACAAGACTTCCAACACCACCATCTAATCCTTCAAACACGGGATCGACCTGAACGATCGGAATCTCTGATCTTGTTCCTGGAGATTGATCTTTCCTCTGTCCTGTGATCCAAGCTTTGAGACCCTTGAGAGCACGACGCAGAGGTCTTACTTTCCTCACACGGCAACACTCTTGATGACCATCCTCGTAGAAAGAGAACAAACCCTTGTTCCTCACTAGACCTTGAACCTCGACTGCGTCAGGGAACATGTATTCAATTCGAATCCCGTATTGCTTCTCGACTGCGTCGAAGAGTCTGTATGTTTCTGGGTTTAATCTCCCTGTGTCTAAGCTGAAAACCCTAAAGGGCTTTCCAGTTAAACGAGCGTATTCGATCAACGCAACATCTTCAGCACCACTGAGAAAAATCAAAACCAGAAAATCAAATGTCAATTAAAGTTTTTCTTTTTGATGTCTAATTGAATCGATTAGCCAATTATTCATAATCAATTTTACCTGAAAGCAATTGCGATTTCGCTTCCGAATTTCGTTAGAGCTTTGTCCATGATTTCAAGTGGAGAAGCATCTTCGAGCTTTTTCGCGAGTTGCTCAAAGTCCTCAACATCTCCTTCTTTCTCTTCAACTTCTGTGATAATGAATCAAAATCAGCAATCAGGAAAACAAAAACAAATCGGACACGAAAATCATCGAGAACATGAAAAATTCCAAATCATCTAAAACAGTCACGCACCAGGAGCAATTAGAGTCGAAGCTCGAGTGACCCAAGATTCGCTGCGTGAATGTGACTCAGCGTTTTGGGATTTCATAGAGAAACGTCTCTGAGAAAGAGTAGCGACATGGGTTCGATCAGATAACCTAAGCGAACAGATTTGAACAGCTGCAAAGAGAGAGAGAAAAAAAACCCATCAGATTCCAGTTTTCCGAAATTAGATCATCACAAATCCAGTAAATGGGAAGAACAATGAACAACAATCGGAGAATCGATTTTGCTTTTCCCGAGAAAATGACAGAGGATTAGTACCTTTAGGATCGGAAGAAGCTCCTGAACGCGAGAAACTCGATCCGGAGATCGCCGTTGAGGAAGAAGTAACAGCTAAAGCCATATCTCTTGAAAACAAAAAACTTTTCTCTCGGATTCGAAAATGTTGATAGAGAATGAGAAAGATCTCTCTTTTGGTGAAGAGGCTCTCTTTGATTCTTCTTCTTCAGCTAGATGAGTTGATTAGATACAGCGTTAAATAATGGCCGACCGAATATGCGAACGTCTAGGCTTCAAGAATCTAGACGATTATACGGGATGATTCGTTTTGATGACGTGTAGGATTCTGATTGGTAGTAGCTAAATCTCAAAATCAAAACTCAGTGCCTACGGTCGCATCGCGTGGTGAGCATTGATGCATGATATGTGGCGGCTTTGAATTTGAAATGGACACACGGCTGAAAAAAAGAGGTTTGCAAATTTGAATTTTCTACTTCAGTTTCAATTTTTTATTTATTTAATGTGGTTTAATGATATAAGACTGGTAATTTTGTTTTCCAAAAAAGCTAATTTTAATAACCACATTTTTTTTTTTCATTTTCTCTATTAAAAACATTAAATGTTACGTAGATCGTGGAGTTGTATCAAATTATAGCAATTTATACATAATTGTGGTGGAATTATAGATTTAAGAGAAATTCTGGTTTCATTTGCATCTTTAAATTGGAGTAGTTTAATTGTTTTTTTTAATGGCTATAAATTGTTTGGACAAACTATGGTCCTACCTGCGTATAATTTCGAGTCACACTTGTGTGGACAAACTATAAAAATTTGCTGATCTGATGTTGAGTTTTAGTTTTGGTTATAAATTTTATAATCTTTTACAATAATCACCAGAAGCTAATAATGCTAAGTGAAGTAGATATACAGTATTCCTCATATTTTGATTATATCTACTTATATATCCTTAGAACATGCGGAACTATCTCAACTATTTTTTTAATTTAGAATGTGGTCCATGAATGCATGCTCTTGCTCTGTGTTATTTCCATGACACAATTATTCATATTAAAAGAAATTATTCATATTATATTCCAAAAGGTTGATTAAGATATTCGTGGCTACTTTTTTCACATAATAAAATAAGATTCTTGTGGGGGAAATGCCTTTTTCTCGAATATAATATTGTGGTGAAGCACACAAGATTAACTTGTTGACCTTTGGGGTCGACCAAAGGGTATATTTATGTACCAACAATTAACAAATCCAAATCGTCGTCCTATTAATATGATTTAGCTACGCTTTAAACACATTTTATCTACCTCTTTTTGTCATACTAGGGATTGCCCGCGCTACGCGCGGGATGTTATTTATATTTAAATATTTGAATTGTTTGTTTGTTTTATTTAAATTTTCGCTGTTTTAATATATTGATTAGATTATTTGATAGTTCTGTGTATATAATTTTGCATGTAATGTAAATTTCTTAGTTGTTGGTGTTATTTTTTCTTTGGTTTCAGTTTTGGTTGGTATGTGAATTGTGGGTAACGCAAGCTGTGTTGTGTCTGACTGACTTGAATATTTTTTGGTTATGTTAAGAGAAGTATTATACATAGAATGTAGTTGTGGTTATTGAGATGATGTTAATTTTACATAAACATATATTGTATATGTTCTGGGCTTTTTTTGTGTAGCTATACTAACATCTATAACTGAAATTTTTTTTTTAATTGTTTTATCACATTAGTTTTTTGTAACTTGAAACCTAAATAATTTGTCATATAGTGAAAAAGAATCCATTAGCGGGATAACTAATTTTTTTGTCAATAAAAAGAAAATAATATATTTTTATTAAAGATAGGAATAATCAAAGTTTATTTGTCCTTTAATGAAAGCAAACCAAGTGTAATTAATAACCAGAAACCCAAACCAATATTTTTAATTTTAAGCAACAATGGTAGCTTTTAAAATAGTCTTTGAAAGTATGTTAAACAGTTCTGGATAAAAATGCAAATATAACTGTGATTCCACTTTTCTCGTGACTGAGTCGGGCAAACATTGGCGCTTCGGGGTTATAGATGGAGAGAATATATGGGTGTTCCTTTTTAAATGTTTCCTGTTAAAAGTTTTTGTAGATATAGAATTAGATAGTGTGACTCATCTATACTAAATAAAAGAAACTATTTGGGGCTTCTTAAGCTATCCACCTCAGCTTTTCAAATTACTCTAAAAATATGACACATCAGCAAAAAATAATAATACAAATTTCCACTTTAGATTTTTTTGAAATACACATAAAGTAAATAAATAGAACCAAAATTAATATAGTTAAATACAAGAGTAAATAAAAATAAAATATTATTTTTTAAATCAATAAAATAAATATTATTTAAATCTATAGCATCAATATATACTCTTTTGTTTGTAATATAACAAATTAACAATAATGAAAATTCTCAATTTAGGTTTTTTTGAAATACACATAAAATAAATAAATAGAACCATTAAATTAATATAGTTATTAGCAAAAACTAAATAAAACTATATATCATTTTAATCAGTAAAATAAATATCATTTAAATCTGTAGCATTAATATATACTCATTTTTGTCACTAAAATTAATATAGTTACGAACAAAAGTAAATAAAATTAAAATATCATTTTTTGAATCAGTAAAATAAACATCATTTAAATTTATAGCATCAATATATACTTCTTTTGTTTGTAATATAACAATAATAAAAAATTTTACTTTATATCTTTTGAAATACACATAAAATAAATAAATAGAACCACTAAGTTAATATAGTTATTAGGAATAAGTAAATAAAACTAAATATCATTTTCGAAATCAGTAAAATAAATATCATTTAAATCTGTAGCATTAATATATACTCCTTTTTGTAATATAGTGAATATATTGGACAACAAATTGCTCTAAAAAACTTAAATAATAGTTAATAGAAACAAGATTACAAAATAATAATTTCTAAAATAAAATTTAAAAAATTTACAAATTATAAAAATCTAAAACATTCACCTTTTAGAAACATAAAGATTAAACATCATAGTACGTTAGATTTATGACAACCAACAAGACAACATAAATTATAGGAAGCTTTTCAAAGCATCTATCTATATGAAGATTTCGATCATCATTACTATTTACATTGCAGAAAATGATAGACAAAAGAAGAATTTCATGCACTGATATTTATTCAATGTGTGTCTTAGTTGGCTTAAGGTAGTCAAGTTACTACAAGCGATACATGTCAGCGCATGAGTTAAACAGTTTAGATGACAGTTAATTTTTATATATATCAAGTTAGTAAATTTTTAAATTAAATAATAATGCATTTTTGAAAAAATAACATACACATTTTTATGTAGAAGAAAATGTCTAAACAAATCTCTAATTATCCACATCAACAAAATTCCTTATAAACCCAACTTGAATAAAAAACTAATATGGTTTTTTTTACTGGGTTAAGAAACTCCTTTAAAAATAATACAATATATATTATTAGTTTAATTATAAAGGCTCATCAAAATATATATGTGTAGTTTAAGAAAAAATGTTTAAGTTAAATTACAAGCAAAATTTTTTACAACTTTTGAGTTTTGAGAAACTCAACATACTTTATTTAACATAATGAGTTAGTATGAAATTGTATTTTTATATGTATTACTTGCCTTATTCATCTATATTTTTTATAGTTTACATATACTTCATAGACCAAATCAAAATTGCATTTTATCAATATGATTGTGATTTTTTATACTATGTAAATATTGTTTTTATTTATATGAATCATAGTTATTTTATAGATTTATAAGAGATTAGAACATTGAGTGTTGTTTGTATTTGAGATTGCTAATTAAATAAAAACACTACACGAACACAGTTGAAATAAATATAAAAAACTAAATTAATTGGAACAATAATAATCAAATTTAGTCAAAACAAAAAATAATTTTAATAATATTTTGAAAGTTAGTAGTGAATAACAGTGAGTTTATATACAAATATTAAGTTTTAGATTAACAGTTAATTTTAGCATATATCAAGTAGGTAATTCTTAAAATTATATCATGATACATTTTTTGAATACATTAAAATATTTTTGATGTATAATCATATCAAAACAATTTTAAAAATTAAATATTATATTTAAAATATTAACTTAAAGTGAAAATAATTTAACTTAGATAATAATCAATTATCTATATAAAAACAATCCGCGCGTAGCGCGGAAACATCCCTAGTATTTAATAAGAAAAGAAAATTGAAGTGCAACTTACTCTCGTTGATTTCCCGATGTTGGTTTAGACTTACGCAGCTGGAGAGATTAAATGACCTGTAGAAAGATTGTTAGTTTAGTACTTTTAGGTAGTTTAATATAGATGCTGTGATATCACTATCCTTTTGTATTTACCTTGCTATTTTGGTAGGTCATTGTATATTTCTTTATACACAATATTCTTCAATCCCTTTTCTTTGTGATCATCATCTTGAAGAATATGTAGACCTTGTGGTGATGTAACTCTTGAAAGAGCAACATAAAGTTGTCCATGACTGAAGACAGGTTTAGGTAAATACAGTACTACTGATTTTAAACTCTGGCCTTGACTTTTATTAATTGTCATTGCATAACAAACCCTTATTGGAAATTGCCGCCTTCGTAGCGTGAATGGATGGTCTGATTGTACCGGTGATAGAATAATCCGTGGAATTAAAACCTTCTTACCTGCGTTGGTGGTTGTGACTATTTGGGCCTCTATAACTCTTTCACCTAATTTAGTGACAATTAGTCTTGTACCGTTGCATAAACCCTCTTTTTGATTGATGTTTCTGAGCAACATAATTGGGACACCTATCTTCAAGCGTAGCTTATGTTGTGGCAATCCTGGAAACTCCAAAGAGTTTAAGTACTCGGTAGGGTATAGCGTTGCATAATCTTTGCCGGTTGTATCTGCTTTTCCTATGCTGTCTGCGCTGATATATTCTTTTACATTTCCTCCAACTTTCGATAATATATAAGCGTTGATCTCATCGACTGTTTCATTCCTAGGAGTTAGGATAGCTCTTTCTGTTAAGCATGTGAAGTTGGTATGGGCATCAT